TCCAAAAAGAAATTGGAATTCAAGTAATGTGTCACTGTCCTTATCGAAAGAGCCCAACATAAGTCCTCTAATGGACATGGTTAGCCTCGTAATTTTAATTGAAGTAGAGTCTGCAAACTGGTTGTATGTTACAGCTAAACACTGTACACCCACCTATGTACCTGTGTACATTTTTTACAAAGAATAAGGGTGACAAGCGAGCACACAGTTGTGGTCCATAAACATCTTCACATGTCTTCAATTAAGGATCAAAATGCAGATGTGTTGTGACTCCTGAGGACTAGAATGCCTAGAAAGTAGTAACGTTAAGAAACACATCATTATTCTGCTATTTCACGCTGGTATTCTGTGAAAGTGTGGTCCATCCCCGGTTGAGCCGACCCAATCGTGCTCTATCACTTCAAAATGTCACACCGTCGTGGCGTCATGTACATTTTTCTATATGGAATATTCCGAGCATCTGACACGAAAATGTGCTCCCCGAACGTGGCTATCGCGTACGAGCCTATCCCACCGCTTGGGACACAGGCTACACAGGTTTAAAGCCATGATGATGTTTACTTGAAAGTATTTTCATAAAAAATGCAGACATGCTGATTTCCTAACAAAGTTTTCTTTCAACATCGAGGACATGGAAAATCAACAATGAGTTTTAGTGACGGCCAACGAGAATCGAATTTGGTTTTTTTTTTTTAAATACTAGTAATGCTATTAATCATTACTAATATTCTCTTTAACCACTTTTTTTATAGGATCGGGTGATAAACGAGCACACAGTCCAACTGATGGTAAGTGGTTGCTGTGGCCCATAGACATCTACATTTATCCTCGTTTGCGAATCAAAATGCAGATGCGTTGTCACCCGTGAGGACTAAGATGGAATGCCTCTTTTCCAGTAAAAATGATCTCCGGTTCTCTACACTCGCCATACGAAACACAGCAGTGTTAAACTGCTATTTTACGCTGGTATTCTGTGAGAGCGTGGTCCTTCCCCGGTCGAGCCGACCCATTCGTGCTACAACTATACTATTAATATAGCTGCAGCATGGCTCTACCACGTGTACCACCACTTCTGGTAAGCTTAAAATGCTTGTGTCAGAAGTGGTTCATGGCAGTAGTCGAAAGGCGGATTCGAACCCACGACCTTTCGAGTTAGCGGTCCGTGTCCTTCCATTTGGCTACTGACGCTTCATTTTTGCGGTTTGTTTGCGACCCATGCAATTTGAAGGTTCCCGCTTATATATTTATGATATATGTTTATTATATAGTATATAATAAACATATATACATATATAATATATACTATCAAGTATGATTTAAATCTTAGAAACTATACCTTAGTATATTCCTTTTACTCACGGAATCACCATTATTTTTATCATGTGTTTGATCGTCATGTATATTCATGATATAATAAGTACTTCCAACTTTTTTTTTCAAATTTTGCAAGACATGCAGAAAACACTGAAGCCAGTTAAAAAGTTTAACTTAAATTAAAAGCATGATGTAGTGTAATTATTATATATACAATTTTAGCTTCTTATCAATTACCAATGATATTTATTTCCTTTTGTGGATAGGTTTTCCCATCAGTAACCACAAATTGTTGATAGCAAAGGTTTTTATTTATTTTTATTTTTAAGGGCAACCAACAAAGCGTACACCTAAAATTAATTTAAATTGAATGCGTTTGATGAAAATTTAAGATAAGCGTAAATAGCACTTGCGGAAATATTATGGTTTGACAATGATGCTTTAATACGTTTTTTTTTTGAACCATTTTAATTGTAGCACGTAATACACAGAATTGTAGACATGGTAATATTTGTATGTCCATGCGGGGTCGATGGTATTACGTACATAAGATGTTTTTAGGGTTCCGTAGTAACAAGGAACCCTTATAGTTTCGCCATGTCCGTCCGTCCGTCCGTCCGCAGTTTTACTGACAGATCTTAGGTGCTACAAAGCCGTAAATTGGCATAGTTACCTATATATATTAACCACGCAAACAAAGTTGTGAAATAAAATCTTGAAAAATATTTTTATTTTTCCCGTCCGTGTTTGGGGTATCAAACAACATTTTTTCGATTCAGATGTTCGTTTGCGAAATATTGAGCTTTAAAGTGGTATTTTTTAGTCATGTGTCCCCCCCCCCCAACCAATTAAACCGTTGTTCTGTCCTGGGAAGAACTAGCAAGAAACCCAGCGGGACTTTTTTTTTAAAAAGCACAATTTACAATATAATATTTTATACAATCATTATGAAAACATTTAGAAACAGCATCGTATCATTACCAGGGGTTATTATCAGTCATGTACTCTTTAGTAGTATAATAACCCTTATTAGACAATTTTTGCTTAATAAATAGTTTAAGCCTTTTGATAAAAAAGATCTGCATATTTTCTGGGACTTTGTTGTACAAGCGTATACATTGCCCCATGTAGGAATTGCTGACCCTTTGGAGTCGAGTAACTTGTATAACTAACTTGTGCTTGTTCCTAACATTTACAGAATGTACATCACTATTTTTAATAACTAAACTATTTTTGTTTTTGTTTACATACAATAAGTTCTCGTAAATATATTTAGAGGCCATAGTTAATATATTTATTTCTTTAAATTTTTCTCTAAGGGATTCCTTCGGACCTAGGTTATAAATTGTTCTTATGGATCTCTTTCGCAAAACAAAGATAGTTTCAATGTCTGTCGTATTACCCCATAGCAAGATTCCATATGACATTATGCTATGGAAATAACTAAAATAAACTAATCTAGCTATTTCAACACATGTAAGGCATCTAATCTTTTTTACAGCATATGCTGCAGAACTAAGTTTGCTAGCTAGTTTAGATATATGAGGGCCAACTTTAATACCGAGAAAAACAGTGGATTCAACAAGACCCAGCTCCTACCCACTTAAAAGCACACTGGTATTCACCTTTTTAACATTAGGTGTAGTGAATTTAATACATTTTGTTTTATTACCGTTCAAAAGCAAGTTATTGACGTTAAACCAGTGTACTACTTTTGATATAGCATTATTCACTTCGTCATATTTCAATAATTGCCTTCTTAGTCGGAAAATCAACGAAGTATCATCAGCAAGTAATACTATATCATGGTTATTCCCTATCAAGTAAGGTAAGTCATTAATATAAACTAAGAACAGAAAAGGACCAAGAACTGAGCCCTGAGGAACACCCATAGATACTACCGATCCGAAAGAACTGCATCCATTAATAACAACTGTTTGCGTTCTATTATTTAGATATGACATAATAAGTTTAAACGCAATTTTTTTACACCATAATGATGTAGCTTCCTGATTAATGTCTCATGGTGAACACAGTCGAAAGCCTTGGAAAGATCACAAAGCATATTCTGAATTTTCCCATGCACAGAAAATATGTTAGATTAGCTCAACACACAGTTCAAAACAATCACACACACAGTTCTCAACAATCAGTTGTCGAGCGACCCCTTGTAAATCCAAACTGATTCTTGTGTAGTAATTTATTTACATAAAAAAAAAACTTAACATATGATCTAGAATATTTTTTTCAAAAATTTTACTGAGCGTTGGCACTACAGAAATAGGTCTAAAATTAGTGTGGTCCAATGTACTGACAGATTTAAATAAAGGTATAACTTTACTATGTTTCATTAAATCAGGAAATACACCAGATTCGATAGTATTGAGAATAACATCAAGTTGGGGTGTAATCGCATCTATTATAGACGCAATAACTTTAACAGAAATCCCCCATAGATCTGCTGTTTTCTTAATATCAATAGTTTTGAAATATTTATAATATTCTACGAAATGCAAATTCTTTTTTACAGACATTTACATTTTGTTTAAGTAAAGACTCGGTGATAGCAGGGGAGGAATTGAGTAACTTTGTAGTCAAGATCAGAATGTTGGTAAAATATTCTTCAAAAGCCATTGCAACGTCTTGATCTGATTTCGTCAAATTATTGTTTAAATTTAATTGAAAATTTGATTTGAATTTGTGTTGTTTCATCTTGCCAGTTTCACTATTGATTATACTCCAAGTCATTATAATTTTATTAGAGGCATTCTTAATTTTTTTTCTTAAATATAAAGACTTTATTAAACACTATTAACTTTATTATATATATACTATCGAAGCAAGCAACACAGATAAGAAGTTAACGTTAAGTTAACGAGTAATAGTCGACCAATTTATAAAATGCACTTGGATTAGTAAAAATTTCGTTACAATTCCATAGAAAATTACTTAAAATTAGCTCCATTATAACTTTTAATGTTATTGTAAACTGTAAAAAATAAACAGTTTTTGAAGAAAAGGATTTATGCATTACTACTGTAGCTTTACGATTCTTTGCGGGGTTGGTCGCCATGAGACCGATCCTGACATACCACTTTCGCTTATTTTTATTTAGGTAGTAGTTACTGAGGGCCTCCAGTTTTATTCGTGGTACTATAGGTTTACGTGGGCGATCCTCAGGGTAGTTTAGGGCAGTTGTGGATTACGGGAAGCTTCGTCACAGTCGTGTATATCTTAAGGGTTGTACTATCGGTAACTAAAAGACAGATAGGAAACTATGACCATTTTTGTAAGGACTTGGCATGTGAATGATTTTATTTAGATTGTATTATTTTCAAAATCGGAAAGTGTTTTTAGTCTTTTTTGAATATCACTTCAAAAAGAAAGGAAAATAAGTCCTTCAGTTACCATTGTCCTATTTGGGCCCATTTTTAGTCTTTACAGCGGTTAAACCGCGAATTCACTTAATATGCTGAGAAAGTCCCTTCTAAGTTCATGTATACTTGCAACTACGGAACCCTACCCCTACATTGTGTATGGCCCGCCACGTACTTGGCCCGTTTTTTAATACATGCAATAGTACATGTAGGTACCAAATTCTTATTTATTATGTCTTATAGTGGGTCGGTAGATATAATATTTAAACATTAAGGTATTAAGGAAACATGTTTACTGTAATAAATCATTTATTTATAGGTAGTCGCCGTTTGGATAATCCAGTCTGTAAAATGGGATAATTTTGTGTAAACCCCAGGGTAATAACGGTTCCCACAACCGTAACCGAAAGACACCAAACCGACAACAACACCTTTATAAATCAAGGGTCCGCCAGAATCACCATAGCATCCGTCTATCCCATCGTAATCTAAGCTGCCAGCACAGAACATGGTTTCTGCTATAACCGCTCCAATTGTGTTGTAGCGCATCACGCATTCCTGCTGGTCTACTGTAACCATCATTGCGTACTGCAGTTGATCAGGTTGAGGTCCACCACTCTGAAAATTTTACATAGTAATCATCTTGCGCGGCAGACGTTATACTGATCTTTTCGATAGGTGGCGCCATAAATCTCACTCTAATTCACTGCGGACTTACAAAATATAATTCCTTCCTATAATTCCTCACACATCTTCCTTGTGGAATTGATTACCCCCAGCGATTTTTCCGGACCGACACGACTTAGGAACATTCAAGAAAGGAGTCTACTCTTTTTAAAAAGGCCATCAGTTGAGCCGCATGCTCGTTTGCGCGACTTAATGGGTCGAGATTTTATGGCACTAAACCAACATATAACCAGTAAGCTGAAATGGTAATGGTCCGGCCATATAGCTCTAAGAATGTCAGCCATATAGGCCATATTCTACCGGTGAGCGCAGTGTCGGGCGATTCCTTAGTTGAGATTTATTTTCAGCAGTGGATTTGTGAAGGGATTACAGCCCTTGATATTGGGATGATGATGAATAACGATTTGTCTTATAATACCACTACACAGCACAAAGTAAACAATGTAGTGTAGGTATTATCTATGGTAAACAGTAACCCAATAAAATATAAAGCTTACTTGTGTTGCTCCCCAACCAACTAAAGTGCACATTTCATTTGGTGCAATTTCTGTCCTCGGCTTGGTTATTGTCCCTTGTCTTACAAATTTGCCCAGCAACAATGGCGTCGCCAATACTAGAACCGCTACATCATTAGTATAATAATATTTGTCAAACGATGGGTGGGGTATTATTTTTTTTATTTTGTGTAAGACACCACCCCGAGTCCGATATGAAGAGCCAACGCGTACTTTCCAGAATTTAGGTAATGTATAACTGTAAAAAAATATAAGCAAGTTTATTAGTTGATTAACAGTGAGCAGCGCGGGTTTTTTTTAACTAAATTTTTTTACTTGGTGGAGCCACGCTACAGTTGTCCCGGATGTTATGATCGATCCGGCCGAAAAAGGATCACGCTGTAGCAGATTAACGGCGTAAAATATCAGCCAGATGATATTGTGTTTCGTATTCGTATGGTTAGTGACATGAAGCGGGGACTCCTTAAACTGGTTACGAGACATTTCATCTTAGTGATGTAGGTTCTGTGGGTCTTAGCTTCAATTAACTATCAAATAGACTGTGAACTCAATTTTCATCCCTACTTATAAAAAAAATATAATGGTGAAACAATAGTACGCAAATATAGAAAAACGTTACTAACGTTAATATTTTTGAGAAATAAAAGTATTTATTATTGTTATGTGGGGTATCTATATAGTTTTCTCATCTGGTTGGCCTGTATAAATAAATAAATGTAAATGAAAATTATAAATATACATAAATATCAATAAAATAAAATAAATACATAAAAGTACATAAATAAATAAAATTCCAACCAGATGGAAGCCCTCAGCAGGGGAGACCAAACGGCCGAAGGTTAGGAAGAAAGAGAAAGAAACCGGCGAAAGATGCGGGTGGTATCGAGGAGCACCGCCTTCTGCATTCGAGTCCGGAGCGGTCTGTCACGGAGTCCCAGTCCCCTCAGATGACCTGAGAGGCTGACTGAGATTAGCTCGTTCGCAGAAACGACCACAGGAATAATATCGGTCGGCAGACCACCCCACATGTCGGTCACCTCATGAGCCAGGTTCAGATATTTTATCTGTTTCGGCTTTCACGAGGTTCTCGTCATAAGGGATGGTAATGTCATCCAAAATATCCTTGACTGTGCCCGGCCCATCAGCACAATATCAAGCTTATTCGCAAGAATAGTCCTGTCTGTGATGATGACCCGGTACCCGTAAAGCCTGGCACGGTCATTTTCGAACACGGCTTCCGAAAAGTACTTATAATAAGGCAGGTTCCGAACCAAGAGACTGTATTTCAGAGCGAGCTCTTGGTGCAGAATGCTGGCTACTAGGATGTGCGTGCAAGTACTCAGAGTTAGAAAGCGCCGAGCAACCGGAGATGACATGCCTAAGTGACTCACCGGGATGCCGACAAGCTACCATACCATCCTTTAGGATGTATCTCCGATAATTGTTGGTCTTAATAATCTGATCCTGTATTGCACAGACAAAACCCTCGGTTTCCCCAAAGAGGTCGCCAAAACGTAGCCAGTGGAGTGAGGTAACTGTGTCTACGAAAGGCACATGAAGAGCCTTGTAGAACCTCTCATGGAGCTCCTTCTCCATCCATACGGGCTCCCGGTCGGAAATAAATTGTACTGCTGGGTCTTGACATTGATCATTATCTAAGGATAGTGGGGTTAGCCCTTTATCACACGAGATGAGAACAAGCATTATCCAACCGTTATATGCGTGTGTCTTATTAACGCCCGACAAAAGACTGTTAAGCACTTTTATCAAGCGTGCATAAAACACATCGCAAACTGACTGTTTCATGTCCGCCTCATCCATACCTATGTTCTTTGACATACCCAGGTATCGGTATGTTTCAGCCTCGGATAGGGTACGTATGTTGATGGGCATAGGTAAGTCTATGCCCTCAGAGTTAGCAACCCTACCCCTTTCCACATGGAGGACCGCACACTTATCCGTCCCCAGCTCCATTCTAATAGAATTGCTAAAATCACAAGTGATGTTTAGCAATTCCATAAGATGAGAACAACTCGAGATCATCCCATATAGAAAAGGTGGGTCACTTTTATACATCCTTTCCGAAACTGAAATCCCCTCCCGGAACCCTCCAGTAAGGTACTGAGAGGGTTCGGAAGAGGCAGAACCAGATTGGACTCAAACAATCGCCCTGGAAAAATAAACGTCATACGTTCGCCTAGATGACAAAAGATCGTATTCCACTGCCCCATACACTGCCCGAGGAAGTCTCTAACTCTGCAATCAACCTTGTGCAGCTCGAGGACCCTCTTCAGCCATGTATGAGGCATTGAGTCGAATGCCTTTTTGTAGTCTATCCAGGCAGCATAATTATTATAATTATTAAATTATTATTATCATTATGGTTGTAGCACGACTAGGTCGGCTCGACCGGGAAAGGACCACGCTTTCACAGAATACCAGCGTAAAATAGCATCTGAATGCTGCAGTGTTTCGTATGGCTTTACCGGGATCGGGTCATCATCACAGGTAGGACTATTCTTGTGACAAAGTCTGTTATTGTGGTGATGGACAGGTCAATAATATTTTTGGTCGACACAACCATTCCATATGACGAACCGAAAAAGAATAAAGACGAAACAGATAAGATGATATGTGGACCCGGCTCACGAACTGACCGGCATGTGGGGTGGTCTGCCAACCTAAACTATTCCTGAGGTCGTTTTTGCGAACGGGTTAATCCCACTCAACCTCTGGGGTCATGAGAGGCGACTAGAACTCCGTGACCGCCCGCTCCGGGCTCAAATGCAGAAGGCGTTGCTCTTCGATACCGCCCGCATTATCCGCCAGAGACTTTCCCTTCCTAGTTCTCGGCCGGTTTTTCCTGATGAGGGCTTACATCTGGCCGGGTATTTATTTCTTTATATATTATACTATATTATATTTGTATATTTGTATAAGATTCAACATAATATGCTTTATTTGATCTTATCGTCTTTATAAATTCCAATCAGACGAGTGCTAGATAAAGTTATAAATTCACTATCAAAGAACGTAAAAAATATATTAAAGAATTAAAGCCCTATTGCCATGATTTTTAAGAAACTGCTACGGAACTTAGCACAGTTTTCACATCAATTTTTTGAAGAAGTATTTTGTACCGAAGCAAGTCACCTTACTCACCTTTTTTAATGCTGCCTCAGAAGGATTCGTTCCTCCTGAGATTAGAGTTACATTTCTAAAATAAAATAAATATCTTTGTTTTTCTTCTCTAAAAGCCCGTAACTTAATATAAACTTACTTATTTCCTGTGTTTTGACTATATTGAAAGCAATGTGCAGCAGATATCACATGTCGCGACGTCAAAATCACACCAGCACAATGCTGGCTGTATTGAAGTGTGCCCCAAGGGTCTAGAAGTAATTGGGCCAATATTGGATATTGGCCTATCGTTGTTGGCGAACCACCTAGGACTCGTGTGAATGCCAGTTGAGATCTTACTAAAATAAGGGTAAGGAATACAAATTATTTTATTAAAGTATAAAATAACAATTATATTAAATTTAATATACTTAACTCAATGTATTATTTAAGTGTGGTAGCATTTGCTATTTAAGTGTAAAGATTTGCATCGTATTTCCTCATCCATGCCCGAATTGCACTATGCGAGATCATCATCGACGATTAACAAACAAGTTTCTGGTGACTAAATAATGGCGATATAACCATTGTGAAATAAGGAAAATCCCAATGTGATGATGCGAGCAGCATTGTGAGTTTGTGAGATGTAAGCATTAGGTATGTCAAAATGCAGTAATAAAATTCTCTACAGTTCTATAAATTATCTAGAATAGATCTAGCACGGGATCAATTGGCAGATTAGCACATCTGTAGGAGAATTAAGCCATTCATCGGAACTAACCATTTTTCCGTTAATCATTCTAGATAGGTTTCTTATAGGAGAGGGGGCAAACGAGCATATGGTTCACCTGATGGTAAGTGACTACCGCCGCCCATGAACAACTGCAATACCAACGGAATTGCAGGTACGTTGCCGGCCTTTTAAAAAGGAATAATCTCTTTTTTTGAAGATCCCTAAGTCGCATCGGTCCGGAAAAATCGCCGGTGGTAAATTATTCCACAGAGAGGTCGTACGCGGAAGAAAACTCCTAGTGAAACATACAGTGGTCTACCGCCAACCATCCAGATGGTGTGGATGGTATCGGGAGTTTTGCCGCGATGTGGGTTCGTGAAATTTGGCGGCTGGGATTAATCCGTACAATTCCTCAGAGCACTCCCCATGGTAAATGCGAAAAAAAAATGCAAAGAGATGCAACATCTCTTCGCAGTGCCAGTGAATCGAACCGATCGGTAAGGACTCGGTCGTCGACGATTCGAGCCGCTCTGCGCTGGATGCGGTTAAATGGAAGGAGCTGGCACTGGGGAGCCCCAGCCCAGTGATTGGAACAGTATTCCATGTGATGCCGAACCTGCGCCTTGTAAAGTTGTAGGCGGTGCGCCGACATGAAATACTGTCCCGCTCTGCTGAGTATGCCAAGCTTTTTAGAGGAAATTTGGCCTTCTCTTCCAAGTGAACATGAAATTGCTCGTCACTCGATGTGTTGACACCGAGGATTCCAATACTGGCTGAGACAACAAGGGAGTGCCTTGAAACTGAGGAGATACGACAAAGAGGTTCCTTTTAGCAGTAAACGCGCAGACTTATGTCTTCTGAGGTTAAACTGGACTAGATTTAGTTGCCCCCAATCCCCGACTTTGTTCAGTAAAGACTCGACTTCAGACACAAGTTTGTTCCGGTACTCGGCGACGTTTTCCCGAGAAATATTGGCACGGCCGGTGTATAAAGCATCACCAGTGCTCTAATCCGTATAGCAATGAATGTTACCGCTTCGCAACATATCATTGATATGCAGAAAAAACAGCGTTGGTGATAGCACACATCCTTGTGGAACACCAGCGTTATTAGGCTTGTAGTCGGAGCATGCACCGTCTACAACGACCTTGATGCTCCGATCTGCAAGAAAGCTGGCGATCCAATCTCAAAAGTTTGAACTAGGTGGGTAAAAGATTTATTTCTTTTAATATTTATTATTATAAAATTGAAGTGACAAACGAACTTACCATCCATCTGACGGTAAGTGGCTACTACCGTCAACGGACACCTACAAGCAACTTCAAACAAAGAAGGCTACAGATGCACTGTCATCTCTGAGGCCTTATCGACTGTTTTTTTATAGAATAAGACTGACAAGCGAGCACACAGTCTACCTGATGGTAAATAGATGCTGTGGCACATAGACATCTATATAGTTTACCTTAATTAAGAATCAAAATACAGATGCTTTGTCACCCGTGAGGATTAAGATCTAATACCTCTTTTCCAGTAAAGAGGGCCTCCGGTTCTCTACACTCACCAAACGAAACACAGCAGCGTTAAGCTGCTATTTTACGCTGGTATTCTGTGCGTGCATGGTCCTTCCCCGGTCGAGCCGACCCATTTGTGCTACAACTATACTACTAATATAGCTGCAGCATGGCTCTACCACGTATTGCGTATGTCGTCTATAACAAGAGGTAAAATTAAAAATTTTGTACAACTGATTTCAATATAAATAAAATGAGAATATCATCAATGTAGTCGAAGTCAATTAAATACGCATTAATATGGATAGAGCGTGGTAGAGCTTTACTGAAGGTATATTAGTAGTGTAGTTGTAGCACGAGTGGGTCGGCTCGACTGGAGAAGGACCGCGCTCTCAGAGAATACCAGCGTAAAATACCAGCTTAACACTGCTGTGTTTCGTGTGGTAAGTGTAGAGAACCGGAGACCCTAGGCATTCCATTTTAGTCCTCACGGGTGACAACGCATAGATGTAGAAGTATATGGGCCACAGCAACCACTTACCATCAGGTGGACTGTGTACTCGTTTGTCACCCTATCCTATATAAAAAAAGGATAACTCAAAAACTGCTGGTAAGTTCTAGATCAAATTTATTTGGGACCACATGAGAAGCACCAGCTTTAAAAAAAAAAGAATCATTGAAATCGGTTCACCTAGAAAAATATTTTGAGGTAACACACAATAAAAATACAGTCTAATTAAGTACCTCCTTATTTTTTGAAGTCGGTTAAAAAAGCTTATGTTGGCGTCGAAATTAAGGCCGTGCTACAATAGAGGTGCTGTAGTTTTTGTGCAGCATGGCCCCGATTAATATCAGAGTATAGAACCAATACAATTAAAGGTATAGTATCACAGGGACGTGTGATAAAAACATGTCCCTCGGGGATCGATACTCAGACCTTCTTTGTTCTTGTTAATTAAATGATAAAATAAAAGATCTTCTTGTATGGTACAAAGTACGAGTATGCCTAGTCTGTAAGTTATTATAAAGTTATAGCTTAAATTGAAAATTTTAAAAACCCCCGAAAAGAACACTACCGCAGCTGACAAAACAGCTGAAGACCTTGAAACGGCTGAACCGATTTTATAAAACATGTCTAAGAACCACTGCTTGAAAACCTGAAAGAAAAAGCGGTTAACCCGTATAAGAGCTACGGTACCACAGACAGACAGACAGACATACACACATAGCGGTCGGGGGTTAAAAAGAAACGACTTCGCACTTAAACGGCCGAACCAAACAATTTGCTTTTATGTGCAGAAATAACAAAATCTCTCTCAATCGCCGCAAAATGCTGTAATTAATTTACAAGATCAGTAATTTAGATTTCTAAAGTTCGAACGTATTTCTCGAGATTTCTATTAGTTTTAAGCTCCAGTGGGGAGCACATATTAACGAGCTAACTTCGAAATAAAGTTTTACAATGTTGCCTGTTAGGAACATTAGAAAGCTGACTATTAAATCAATAGCTAAATTAGTCTAATTAGCTTAATTTCACAGTATCATGTCTTACGGTATATTTCTATGGAAATATGAAGCTAGATTGGAAGCAATATGCATTTTGTAAAAGCAAGCGATATGAGGGTCACCTACACACTACACAGAACACTATTGCTAGGAATAATTGGTAGGAGTATGCAAGTATCAGCTTACTATTCCTCCTAATAGGGAAGATTGCAAAACTTTACTCCAAAGTTAGCTTGTCAATATGTGCTGCCACTCAAGTTAAAACTACTGGTCTGGTCACCTACTCGTATAACTTAGGCGTCAAGAGCTCACGAGTAACTACGTTTAATATATTGACACTAGTCTTTTTATTTTTAAGAACATCGTAATTTAAATTTATTAACATATAAATTTATGAACAGTGATGTGTGGAAATAAAACTATTATATATAGCAATTCCTTGTTTGTTATCTTGTTTGGGTTGTTAATGAAGACATTTTAAAAGTATTTACTTATTGAACTTTGACATTGTATTATTTTTTATGTTATAATTGTACATGACATTGTAACACAGCTTTAAAAAAAAGACCCTTGAATTTCTGACCGGTTCTTTCCTGAAAAGCTCTTGTTTTCGCGAACCGGTGTAAATTTTGACGTTCATAAGAGCTTTACACAAGCCTAAATAGAATAAAAGTATTTGACATTGATTTAGAACCTGAGTAGAAACCTATCCAACTACTGAAAGCTATAAGACATGGTATATTATATCCCCATACTTCACCAAAGATGTTTTCAAGCTAGGTACTGGTATCAACGTCGGCGAATATATTCTCCGCCTTCAATTTATAGACGATGTAGTCATTTTGGCAAATTCGCTGGAGGACCTTGGCGCTATGACCAATGACTTCAATAGTGTTTCCCAAAGGATAGTTCTTAAGGTGAACATAGACAAGCCAAAAGGTGTGTAGCATCATGTCACGGATCCGTGGCGCAGTGGCTTACCAATCAGTTGTTGCGCTGGGGGCCGCGGGTTCGAATCCCACACGGAACAAGTATTTGTATGGCCTACAAATAATTGTTTCGGGTCTGGATGTTTGTCCTTGTGCAATTTATGTTTGTAAACTGCCTCCACGACACAGGAGAAAATCCTAGTGTGGGGGTGGTGGGTAACGTTTTTTTAAAAAGAGGAAAGACAAAACTATGTCAGTAGTTGTTGGGCAACAGTTGAGCACTACACTCAAATTTGTTGACGAGTATGTTTACCTAGGGCAAATTCTCCGATAAGGTAAGTCCAACTTCGACTTAGAGATCAATTGATGGATCAAACTCGGCTGGGCAACGTTCGGGAGACTACGACACATCTCGTCACTTATACCTCAAAACAAGAAAACAAGCAACTCGTGCGTGTCGGCAGTGATGACTGAGTACATATAGGTCTAAAAGGCGGTCATTCACTGCTGGCTGTATGAGAAAGCTCATGTCCGTGTAGCGATCTATGGAGAAGACTACGCTTGGAGTTTCTCTGCTTGATAGGCGTAGTTCGGATCAGTAAGCTAAAGTGGCCACTGCGGAAAAATGTTCTAGAGACACTTAACTTACTGGTACGAGGCTGTTTCGTACCAGTAAGTTAAGTGCCAGCTAGTATAGGGCGACCCTGTAAGTACTCTACTAGTTGGATGAAGGTGGCTCAGGAACGTGCTTTGTGGCATTGCTTGAGGAGGCCTATGTTCAGCATTGGGCTTGTGATGGGCTGTAGTGATGATAATGATAATGGTAAAAGCTTATAACAAATATAAAGAAAAATAACTTATAAAACTGTAGATATAAAGAATATAATAGCATTTTTTAAATGTAATCAAATAAAAAAAACTTACCCGTGATCAAAGACACAGTAAATAAAAAAATTGACGCAATATATCGTGAATACATCACAGTTTTGTTATATTCTAATATGTAGAAAATCCTATGTGCTTTTTACAAAATGTACTTTCCTCACAGTTGCTTAGACCAAAGTGAACGATCGCAATACGTAGAAGGTGTCTGTTACTTTCTTGAGCTTAGCGTGCGTTATAAAGTAATTATTTATGATGGAAAGGACATCAAATTCTTGATCCGTTTCAATTTAATATTTTTTTAGAAGATTGGGGTGGATTCTTTTAAATCAGAGACTGGGCAATTTTTTAAATTACATTCAAATAAAGAAGCATCCTGAATTTGATACCCGATGCTGGTTACACCGCCATTAATGCTTACTGCAATTTTGACGGCTCCGTGGCGCAGTGCCTTAGCAATCAGTTGATGCGCTGGGGGCGCGGGTTCGAATCTCGCACGGAATAAGTATTTGTATGGCCTACAAATAATTGTTCCTGGTCTGGATGTTTGTCGTTGTGCAATTTATGTTTGTAAACTGGCTCCACGACACAGGAGAAAATCGTGGGGGTAAGGTTTAAAAAAAAAACAAAAATAAATTTATTTAAAATACCAATTACTGCAGGCAAAAGAAATCAGAAAGATAGAAAATGCCTTTAACTTACATTATCAGAAAAAGATATACAATATGTAATATCTGTTGTTTTCTTTACTAGGCAAGCCTGTATAGAGGAAACCTGAGACCAAAGTTCATTAAGCGCTATTTTATATAAGTACCTTATCAGACAGATTGTATTAACATATTATACACTACAGCAATAACAGAACAAACAGCTTATTGCTTTAAATCTTTGAACATAAAAAGGGAAGAAAACTATAACAACAAAGCCAAGTTATATAAGTGATATGTATTAACTTAGTGCATTTAAAAAATACAATTAAAATTAAAACAATAACAAAATTTACCTAATAATTTTGCAAATACCATCAATTAGCAAAAGCCAGTTTTTAACAATTCTTCTGTTTTCTCATATGACAGGGTGACCAACTGACCAACCATTTCAATATAATTAATTTCGCAGATAATATATACTTTTTATTACTGATATTTCAATGTTTTACGACCTTGTTATAAATTTGTCTTTTGATAAAGTCGCCAAAACGTTGTGCAGATTTAGTATTGACATATGATAGTGATAGTTTGTCTACCCTGCGATTAGTCAGTAGTTTGTGATCATGGGAAGATATAAGATAATACGTCTTTATGTTTACTGCTAAGGACGTATTTAGTACAGCCTTGGATAGGTCCAGAAATATCCCAATACAGGTTATTTTACTTTCAAAATGCGCGGATAGTGTGGTCGTTACCCTTACGAAAACCAAATTGTTTTGGAGAGATACAGCTGCGTTTCTCAAGATAACCCACAAGGCGTTTATTTTCTAGTTTTTCAAGTAATTTTGAAAATACAACTAAAAGCGAGATGGAGACCCATCATTGTTGACAGAATTCTTAGGTCCCTTTTTATAAATCTTAGAAACCGAAGCAGTTTTTCAACTATCTGGGAAAATACCGCATGAGAGACTGAGGTGAAAAATATAGGTACGCAAATGGTGTCATAATTTCGTGTTTAGTAAATTTTACTAGCGGTTCACTAGCTCCGTCTATACCCGGTGCCTTATTGTCTTGCAACTCTGATATAAGTTTTCCAATTTCTTCATGATCTGTGGAACAAATGGTGGATTTGGGATTCTTTCTTTTTATAGGATAGGGTGACAAATGAGCATACAGTCCACCTGATGTTGAGTGATTGCTGTGGCCCATAGACATCTACATTTATCCTCGTTTGCGAATCAAAATGCAGATACGTTGTCACCCGTGAGGACTAAGATGGAAGCCTCTTTTCCAGTAAAAAGGGTCTCCGGTTCTTTACACTCACCATACGAAACACAGCAGTGTTAAGCTGCTATTTTACGCTGGTATTCTGTGAGAGCGTGGTCCTTCCCCGGTCGAGCCGACCCATTCGTGCTACAACCATAATATAGATGCAGCATGGCTCTACCATCTCTCTCCGATCGTGTCTGATAACCTTACCATCGGACTATGAGAGTGAGGTAATTCAGAGTGCACTTGTGCTTGCGCATACACTCGGGCATAGCTAGTCTCCGTTGAGACTGGTCGCCATGATAGAAATTCGGTTTCGAGGATATTATTATAAAAAAAATGTCACATATGTGGGCGTCATGTGTGGTATAATAACGGACAACTTAAAAAAAAAGAGCCTAACTCTTTTTTTAAAGGCCGGAAACGCACCTGCGTTTGCCCTGGTGTTCTATAAAAAATAAATAAATAAAATAGGACAAGGATAGTATTTTTGTAGGTAGTGGATATTCTCACACCGCCACTACTGAGTCTTTAGTAATTATTATAACAAATAGTAATTAACAAGTGGCATATTATATTTCACTTAGATGTGGCAGAGTAAGATAATTCATTACTCCATATCGTTCCGTAGGTTTCATAAGAAGCGACAGAAAAAAACTGAGACTGGAGATGGGCAGCAAGTTACAACTCAACATTATGAAAAACTGCGGTGACCAACGTGCTTGCCAAGCGCGACAGCTACGGTAAAAACCCCCATATGAGGCAATCTATGAGGCAAGCCTAATGTAGGCCTGGAATGGATGAAAATATTTTATGCCTTTTTTACTGATGTAATTTAAATTTAAAAAAAAACCTAAAGTGTTGATTAAGGTTTATAAACAATCTATTTTTATTAAAAAAAAAAAAAAACAATGTATTCAACACTCAACGATCTTCTGTATAAAATATCATGTTAATACAGTCGCAGTATATTTAGAGTAAGATACAAATAACTAGGTACGTTGAAGCGTATTGGAACATCAATCATTTCAAAAGTAGTTAGTTGGCTTGCTGAGAAATTATTACTATGGGATCCTAATATTATGTTTGTGTGTTAATAACACAATGTAATGATATTTAAAGTACCGTTAAAACGAACATGCCCACAATTAAAAAAAGTTTAAAGGAGCATGCGTGATGTATCCAATTGCTAATAATAAATCATTTCATAAAATGTATGAGAGAAAATTCACGAAGAGATTTTTTTAATAGGTGTCATGTCATGTCATTAGTTGCTTTGGGGTATATCCGATATATTTTCTGATTAGTTGATACGATGTATATTTAATAACTAGCTGTTCCTCGCGACTTCACCCGCGTGTTATTTAGGGTTTTAATTTTTTGCGAGAAACCCTAATTATTTTTCTAAAATAAAAGTAGCCTAAGATACTCCTTATGACATCAGCTATCTGCCAGTGAAAGTCCCGTCAAAATCAGTCCAACCGTTTCGGAGATTAGCCGGAACAAACAGACAGACAGACAAAAATTTTAAAAAGTGTATTTTTGTTATAAGTACCGTTTATACTTTCATATGCATTTAGTGAAACGCTGTAATTTTGACATTACAAACAGACACTTCAATTAAATTTTTTTATAGGTTAAGTATTTGTATAGATTTAGTATTTTTTTTAAATCTATCCAAGTTTACATCCAACTTAGGTATGTCACTTTTATTTACTGAAATACATATCCTAATTATTTTGTTATTTATCTCAATAAAATGTCTTTGCGTTGCATGAATACGATCATTTAAAATTTAACATATTTTTCTTCTGCATAAGGTATAACTCCGATATAACGCGAGGTAGGTAATACCGAAAATTAGGTAGTGTTCCTTTTTGACTTTCGACTGAAGGTTTTGGATTTTCTTTTCGTTTGTCTATAGACCTCTACAAAAAGCATTGATACGTACTTTATGTTTCTGATTCAACTATATATTGCGCACTTGAATTTTCGGAATTACCCCACATAAAGTCCAGTGGCTCTAAACATTTAAGGCACCACCACGGCAGCGCACCTTGCGTTTCCGTGGTTGGACAGTTGTTAGGCTAGTTAAAGAGGTTTCTTCAAACTTATATAACAGTTACCTGTTATAAAAGTTTGAAGAAGAGAATAAAAAAATATTTTTTATACATTTCTATATATACTTTTTTTATAGGATAAGGGTGACAAACGAGCACACAGTCCACCTGATGGTAAGTGGTCGCAGTGGCCCATAGACATCTACATCTATCTTCGATTAAGAGTCAAAATGCAGATGCGTTGTCACCCGTGACGACTAAGATGGAATGCCTCGTTTCCAGTATTAAAAAGGGTATCCGGTTCTCTACACTCACCACACGAAACACAGCAGCGTTAAGCTGCTATTTTACGCTGGTATTCTGTGAGAGCGTGGTCCTTCCCCGGTCGAGCCGACCCATTCGTGCTACAACCATAATATAGATGCAGCATGGCTCTACCACGTATAAAAATATATAATATTTTTAATGAGTCAAAAGTATCCAAATTCCGGATTTTTCAAACTTTTAAAAACTCCTAAAATCTTTTTCATTTATATTTTGTCAAGGAATATGAAAAAAAAATATCGTTTATAATTTATTATTTTTCTTTAAGCATTTTTAATAGGTCAAAAGTATCCGAAATTGGGATTTTTCAAGCCTTTAAAAATTCATAACTCGGAAGATATTAACCTTATCGTAAAAAATCATGGGACCTCTTTTATTCGTATTTTATCAAAGAATATAAAAGCAACTGTCCCGTTCGAAAATAACGATTCCTTGCAATTGAAAATACAATCGGTTTAAACAATATGGCACCGAGTTGCCCCATGGCAACATGCATTTATATCATAAGTAGGACAATTTAAAGAGAATCGCATAAAAAATTGAGGTGGATTAGTTTTCGGTACTCATGCGCCGATTTCTCCTGGAATACATTTGGCTTAGCGGTAGGTACGCCTTGTCCGCTCCGGTTGGTCAAATTCTCAAAGGATTGACAGCCACTGGAAACTACAATGGAAAAGTAGTTCGATAGTCCATTAATCGTAATTAACCCTGTGGGGTATTGCCGAAAAAACACAAAAACAAAACCTGGCTATCTATCATAAAATCAAACAATCACGAAGATTACTTAGGAAGTTCCTAAGATAATGAACGGGGTGTAATTCCGAAAAACCGAAGAGTTGAAAAAGCTGTTTCCACCGAAAAGTTAACTTTGAATGCGCGCTATTGAGACTAGCTACCTGATACCCCTATATATTAGGTCCTTACATATGAAATTGGCGTTTTGTACGGGAGGAATATAAAGTCAATTTTTTTTGGATAATATACATATTTAATTAATCAAAGTATGCACCGTTATTATCTATGCACTTTTGCCATCTCATAGGTAGTTCATTGATCACTTTACTAAAAAACCATGGGGGCGAGAATCAAAAAATTCTTTGAAGGCGGTTTGGACTGCTGCATCGGAGTTGAATTTTTTCCTTGTAAGAAGTCCAAATTCCGGAAATGTTGTACGGGGAGTACGGTGGATGTCGCAGACATTCCAATTGAAGCTCATCTAACTTAGTGGTTGTTTGTTGTGCAGTGTGTGGTCTTGCGTTGTCGTGAAGAGATTGACCAATCTCGGTTGTTTAGCAGCTAGTTCTTCCTTCATGGTTTGCAGTTGCTGACAATAGATATCTGCCGTAATCGTTTGGCCAGATTTTAGAAAGCTGTAGTGAGCTACACCGGCACTAGTCCACCAAACACTCACAAGTAAATTTTTCTGAGTCAATTTTCGTTTAGGGCAGGATTTGGCTGTGTCTCCAGGGTTCAGCCATTGCGAAGAGCGCTTCCGATTATCGTACAGTATCCACTTTCCATCACAAGTAATGATTTGAGTTAAAATCCCTTCATTATTGTGTCGGTTGAGCAAAGTAACACAGCAGTCGACGCGTGTTTGCAAGTTCGATTCACTCAATTCATGAGGTACCCATCGTTCAAGTTTTTTTACTTTCCCGATTTGCTTCAAGTGGATTAATACAGTTTTATCACTATCCGCTTCCACAATAGCCTTTAATTCATCATTTTCCACTTTGGTTTCCGGCCGACCACGGGGTTGGTTCTGAAGGTCGAAATTTCCAGAACGAAAACTTTGAAACCAAAAACATACCGTGTTTTTACATCATTAATCATTTGAGCTGTTTCTGCAGCACTGGTTCCACGTTAGAATTCGTACTCGTAAATATACCGATATTTCATGTTTTCGATTATGCGGTAATAAGCGAAGCCAAAGAAAAAAATTATGAGGAAAAAACAAATGTGTGGCGGCGCTGTTGTCGCGCCACAAGCGAAACACATCGAAGCCTAAATCGCGCTAACAAAGTTCCTAAATTAAAGCAATATATATAGAATAGCTCCGAACTACCACTCGGAGCGTTGGCCGCTCCCAGGGCAGAACACCTTGCCCGGCGGGAGATCTCCCCTTTTCCTTCCACCCCCCACAGTGGTGACCCCGACGTGATATGAACACGGCAACCAACAACCTTCGGAAACTTCAACATCGAAACCTTCGTCATCATCCTCAAGTACCCCATTCATTCGCTCCCGAGCAGATATTGTCTGCAGTCTTCACATTCTGCAAGCCATCTAGCTTTACAAAGGTTCATCGCAGCACTGGAATAATAATGCTTCCTGTTCCTTCAAGCTACTCTCTGCGCTACAGTGTTCGGCACGGCTCTGAGCCTTACTGCTCGCCTCTGCTTCACGGCATTCGCAGATTACTTGCCTTCTTCTCGACTTACCGCAGACTACAAGGCAATCCCTGGCACTTGCAATCGGACTGCACTATCGACCTCCGGTCTGAGCAGGGTGGTGATGTGGCGGTGCTGTCGACGCGCCACAAGCGAAACACATCAAAGCCTAAATCGCGCTAACAAAGTTCCGAAATTAAAGCAATATATATAGAATAGCTCCGAACTATCACTCGGAGCGTTGGCCGCTCCCCGGGCAGAACACCTTGCCCGGCGGGAGATCTTCCCTTTTCCTTCCACCCGCCACAAATGAATGACTGTTTTCAAAACTCAAATGTACCAGCTAAATGAATTTATAAATTTGAATTTGGAATTCTTAACCAAAGAGGAGATATTTCAGATCAAAGTGGTCAGTACGACAAAACGCTAATTTCATATGTTAAGACGAAATATAATGTACTCAGTGCCTGACAAGACGGAAACGAGGGGACAAATAAGATGTCGTCTAGAATAATGTTACCAGAGAAAAAAAAAGCCTTGTTAAATCGTGATTTGTAAATATCCCATATGCCGTATCCCATATGCCAATGCCCTCATTTTCGTAATAACCCCATAGCACCCTACTGATAAATGAGCACGGCAATGAATTATTTCTAGGGGGCGCAACTACACCTACACATTATACTGTTCATCATTGTCAACATTATCATTAACACCTATCACATAGCCACTACTGAACATAGGACTCCCCATTAATTGTGAGGCGCCTCCATCCACTGATTCCCTGCATGTTTCGTCAGTTCGTCACACCATCTAGTGGGCAGGTCACCCAACACTGAGCTTGTCATTCTTTCCCACTGGTTGTCGGTCCTTCATATGGCCGGCCCATTGTCACTTCGACCTACTGATCCGCCGAGCTATGTCAGTTACTTTTCTTCTGAACATATTATCTTTACGAATTTTACAGCGCAGTGAAACTCCGATCCCTCTTCAACGCTAGCAGTTATAATATTGACTAATATAGTTTATAGCACAGTAGTAGCTGGCCACAGCCCTACTCTCATTTCTAAGGTTTTATAACGCAGTGAAACTCCGAGCCCTCTTCATAGCTAGCAGCTATACTATTGACTAATAGGTATAGTTAACAAGACTAGCTATAACAGTTAGTAGCTGGCCACAGACCTACATACATTCATTTCTGAGGTTTCTTATAGCGCAGTGTAACTCTGAATTTATGACTAATATAATTTATAACAGTAGTAGCTGGCCACAGACCTACTCTCATTTCTGAGGTTTTTAGGGCAGTAAGAACCTGGCGGTGCAAGTCCACCCGCTTCCTCCCGGCGACCATGAGCGTGAAGTCAGCTTGGTATTGGTTTAATTATTGATTTTTATAGCTGTTTGTGTGTTTGCAATTGTGGAGTAGCGCTTTACTTTTAATAGTATGTAATAATTACGTCGGCTTCATCGTGTATTAAATAGCGAAAGGCGACACAACTCGCACTTCTTTCATCCTTAAATAGTCATTCCTTTATCTCTCCTTCGAATCCTTCATTTGAAAATTACTAGGTACTTATATTTACTTACGTTAAGCCTTTTATTTCATTTAATTGTTTATTCCTTTGTGGTCTTGTATATTATGTTTATATTTTTGTAATTGAAATATGTATTTATTTTATTATGATGTATGTACCTACCTATATATTGAGCGTATAGTTATATTTAAGTCGTGTGTATTTCCTAACAACTCACGTATACCATTTTACCCCTTCCTCACAGGTCATTATATCCTCTGCAATGTGGTTGCCATAAGCGATAAGGCCGCCAATTGTACCATTAGAAAATTTGTCGTCTTTTTTTTTCTCTTATATTTGGGGTACAATAAAGTAGGTATATATCCTTCATTTCATTATTCACGAGTCACGTTTGTACACCAAGAATACCTAGGTATAAATCCATCATTAGGAGGAGGAAAATATCGCTCTAGATCAAGTTAATTACGTTTATATTTTAAAAGTACAAATTTATCTCTTCTTGCCTTCTACTAAAACATTACTATTAAAAGTATAAGCAGAACTTATGTTAAAATATTTTGCAGTGATCAAATTGGCAGGCGTTTTACGTATACTAACATCATAAATCATAAACACTCACGCCTGTGACCCAGAGGGGTAGGCAGAGACTACGGACTTACATTTGGCACGGTCCTGACACACTTTTCTCGCCTCCTTTACACCCATATACATACGAATACATGCTCGTCGGTTAAAGATAGGTACTCTTACTCTGGCCCATCTTCTTTCAGCCTTTTCTTTTTTCTTTTTGACTCTTCCACTTCAGGAAACACA